CAACGTCCTCCACAACTAGATTGAAGAACAAAACGACAGCAACTTGTCTGTTCCCCTTCCCCAATTCCCCAGCACTGTTCCCATCCCCCCAACTCCCCAATAAAAATCTTTAAAATAAATAAATAAATAAATAAATAAATAAATAAATAAATAAATAAAACCAAAAAACTAGCAGAGCTGGAATTTGAACCCAGGCCCAAGGGACCCCCACGCGTGAGTCTGTTCCTTGCCAGTACACATGAGTTGGGTAGGTTCCTGGGGACAAATCCCAGAATCTCAGGGACAGCCTAGGACCCAGGAGCCCGTCACACTGTCCATCCTCCAGTTTGAGGATCATGTACAGTGGGGTACATTCTGGCAGATCAGACTTTTGTGATCACGTCCTTCTTAACCCGGAATTTTGAGGCCTGCTGTCTTGAGTCTGGCTCCACCAGCCACCCGCTGGGCACTGTACGGCACACAGTAGGGCTTGATGGGCAATGTGGGGGGATCGCCAAGAGCTTTCAAAGCTCTCAACTTCTGCTGACCTCAGATCCTAACCCCCATAGAGGATGTGACATCTGCTGAGCCAAACCCTGTGCTAAATACACTGCTCACGACATCTTGGTCCATCCCATCACAGGTCAGTGTCACCTGAGAACTCAAGACTCTTGGCACCAATGACTGCGTCCAACCCCCACCCTGCACACTAAGGGACCTGAGCCGACTTTAGCGTGGCTTCTGTTGGCCCAAGACCGTGACCCTAGGATGACGACCCCAGCCCCCTAAAAATGCCTGCCTGAGAAAGCTCACAGCTGCCAAGAGGATGTGCTGTGCGTTCCAGCCAATGCCTGACTACAGGCCCTCACTTCCCTTTTTCTTAGAAACATTTCCTTTAGAAAACTTGCAAATGTGAATCCTTTCCCTGTCCCTTTGAAATGTACCTTCTACAACCTAGGACCATCTTCCTCAAGGACTGGGAAGCAGGCTTTGAAACGTCACCATCAAAAAAGGGTGGTCCGCCACCTCCCAGCCTCTGCCAGAGGGTCGGAGCCAGTGAGTAGACACAGCTGGCTTGGCGGCAGGGACCTCTTCCGCTGACATCCTTCCGCTCTTTTCCTGAGCACGCCCCGGCCTTTCAACAGCCCCTTTTGTTTCGGTAGAGCTGAGACCAATTTACACTGAGGTCTCTCTCCCCTCCTGCAGTCGTCTAAATAAAACCTGACGTGCTACTGTAAAAGTGTGTGCAGGTTTTGTTTCTCTTTGACATATGGGCCCATTTCCCCCATGAGGTCACTGAGGCAGGTGAGGTCAGCCACTCCCCAAGGTCACATGAACAAGTTGTGGGTCTGAGGCCTCCGGGTCCTGCACTCTCACCTGTATCTCGGCCAGCTTGTTAACCCCACGTGCGTGGCCTTGGAGGGCAGGTGTTAGCAGCCCCTCCAGGGCCCAGCAGAAATCGGGGCAGCAGTCAGCTCTGACAAGCAACTTTTTGTAGGCATATGCCCCGCGAACATGTCATTTAATATGAATGTGTGTCAGTCCCAGATGGGCTGCCCCGCCCCTGCCCCTCACCTTCACACGACCGGCCATCGGCCGAGAGCCGGAAGCCCGCGGTGCAGCTGCAGTAGTAGGAGCCCAGCGTGTTCTCGCACTTGTGGCCACACAGGCGCCCGGGGTAACGCCGGCACTCGTTGACGTCTGAAACAGAGCAGGCGGGCAGCTCAGGGACAGCGTCCTCCCCCGGCAGCGCCACACTCCGCCTCCTCCTCCCATGTCTTCAGCCTCATTTCTCAGAGGCAAAGTGACTTGTCCTCAAAATAGGGCAAGCCAGTGGGGGAGCTGGGGCCACACTGGGCCAGCCTCACGTCCTTCCATGACGGTATGTCTGGTTCTTCACCCCAGAGCCCCAAGGGAGGGTCCGCGGGGCCTGACCAAGGGGCCCTGAGGATGGGCGGGGCAGGCGCCAGCCAGCAGGGTCTGTCCCCACTCCTGGTGCTCAGGCCACCATGCTGTCTTCAGTTCTCACTGCCCTGGACTGCTGCCCTGGGAAATCGTTATTCCTTGGGACGTTTGTAGGGTGGGCTGGAGCCTCGTAAACATTTGGAGATCCTAGGTCAAACAGCACCTGCTGTACAGGTGGGGAAACTGGCTCATGCCTGGGAGGCGGCAGCAAGAACTGGGACTGGGATGGGGCCTCTTGGCTCAGGGTCTTTCTCTGGGACTGTCACAGGCTGGTTCTCTTTGGCGCCACCTGGCCGGATGCCCCGAGGCCTAGGCAAAGACCCACGTACCCACACATGTCTTGCTGATGCCGTCGAAATGGTAACCAGTCTTGCACTCACAGCGGAAACTTCCAGGGGAGTTCACACAGTGGTGCCCTGGGCCACAGGGCTCGGAGGGTGGTGAACATTCATCTACATCTGGCAAAAGAGAAAGACATGTGGAAAAACCTTTAGAGTGTGTTTGTTTCCCCTGGATCAGAAAGGAAAGAGCACACTAAAATGTACCCTGACAAAGCACCGTTGTTTATTCTTCAACCCAATTTTGCGACACCTACAGCATGTGTCGGGCCCATGCTGGGGAGGCAGCTAACCAGGCCACCCCCCTACCCTTGGAGGACTCCCACTCTGGTCAGCCAGCAGTGACCTTAGTTAAGCCGGAAATGCCCAGTGACTGGGGGAGATGCTGAGGAAGTGCCCTGGGAGTGACAGGGAAGAAGACCCCCCCTGGCTGGCAGGGACCTGGGCAGGCTGGGTGCAAAGGCCTCTGTCCTGGGCCCAAGGGAATGGAGGGGCAGGTGGGCAGAGGGAGTAATGGAAGAGCAAAAAGCCCAGAGAGAGGAAAGGGCAGGGTTTGTATGGGGCGCAGCAAGACCTATTTCATCTGGATTATCAGGTTTGTGAGGTTGGGAGCAGCTCTGAGTGACGGAATTATAAGCAGGGGCATCTGTCCTCTGTTTGTTAGCAATGGGGGCTGTGAGCATGGAGGGGCAGGAGAGCTCTTGGCTCAGTACGACCAGACAGAGTGAAGGGGGCAAAGCTGGAGGCCGTGAGTGGGTTGATATTCTACTGCAATAGTCCAGGCAACAGATGACAAAGTCCTATGCTTGGAGACCGCAATGGGACGGACAGGCGGAAATCGCTTCGCTTGGGGATCTACTCTCGCCTTCCGGGGAAGAAAGGGTTGTGCTGGGAGCAGACAAAAAGATCCACTTCAGATTGGTTTTCTTTTTTAATACCAACCAACACAGCGGGTTCCCTCCTCGTTGAGATGGTAGCCACGGCCACAGTTGGGCACGTTCTTCTGGCACGTATAGGAGCCCTCCGTGTTGATGCACGTGTGCCCGAGCGGGCACGTGGGACTGATACTTAGACACTCATTGATATCTACAGCGGGAAAGACGGAGAATATGTGGTCAAACACGGCGGGCTTCCCCAAACCCAACGAGTCGATCACCAAAGAAGCCCCACATCCCCCCTCTTTGCAAAACTACAAACAGGTACCATGGCGTCCTCACCCTGGACCACGTTGCACCCTCCCAATAGGCTCCCAGGTTTCGCCAGCACACACTGCCTTAAATACCACCGCCCTGGCCCTAAACCTTCAATGCGCCCTTTTGCTGCACTGAGTCCGGAGCAGCCTGCTTGGCTTCTAGGCCCTTCTATGGTCAAGTCCCCTCTGAATCCCACGTGGTGGACTGGGAATTCAGGTGCCGTCTGTATCCATGCACGCCACATGGTATACGGAGTGTCTTCCCTGAGCGGAGTGCGGGGCTAGGGAGACAGAGGTGGCTGTCCCCTCAGTGCCAGCACTATCGCCCTGCGAGGCTCTGGGCTCCTCCGGTGAGTGGCCAGGCCCCGCCTGCCTCCCAGCCTCACTCTGGGCAGTCTGTGCTGCAGCCCAGGCTCCAGCCCTAACAGCACACGTATGGCTCCTGAAGAAAGCCACTTGGGTTCCAGCTTTGTGCCTTTATTCACATGGTCCCTGCCTGGGAAGCCACCTCCCTTGTCTGCCTGGTAAACATGCCTCTTTCAATGCCCAGTTTAGTGCCACCTCCTCAGGGACACCTCCTGCCACCCCCGTCTGGGCTCCTCGGGGCCTGTGCTGACTTGGGCCCAGTGGGAAGGGCTGCCCGCTCTAAGTGCACTGCAAGAGAGGCCTCCCTCCCTGACCGGACACACCTCCGACACGGGCACCGTGGGGTGTTCCCTTGTGATGGACACACACCTAGCAAGTGTGAACCAGTAAATAAACAAGGAGAGCGAGGCTACACATCTATTCACGCCCCACGCTTACATCGGGGTAAAGCCACACAGATTGAACTTCCTACTAGGGGTCGTCGTCTTCTAAAAGCACCTAAGTTTTTCAGAGTCACCTATTCAGACACTCGCAAAGCATCTAGGGAGCAAAGAGAAGAGCATGATGGCACAGGACCCCTGAGCGGAGGGCAAGCCCACCTTCCTCAGGCAGACCAATCAGCCCGACTCCCTCCCGCCACAGGAGTCAACCTTCTTACACCAGCCAAGCACCTAACAGTTTACAAAAGCTTTTATGTCCATTACTGCCCTTGACAACCACAGCCAGCCTGCAAGCTAGGCAGCGCCCCGATTACTGTCTGCATTTTATAAACAGGAAACTCCCCGAGCACAAGGCCAGAGTTGGGGCCCACACAGGTCTAGCACGAGGGTCTCCTAAAATCGGGGGTCGACAAACTACAACCCACCGGCCCAACCCAGCCCCCTGCCTGTTTTTGCAAATAACAGCCCCAGAGCACAGCCTGTACTTTTATGTACTGTGCATGGCTGCTTTCACAAGCCGAGGCAGAAACCCTGTGGCACGCAAAGGTGGTATTTGCCATCCAGCCCTTTATAGAGAAAACTCGTGGGCCTCTGCCTTGTGCCAAGAATCAATGCAGCATTTAACAACAATATTGCGCCCTTCCATCCAAGCCTTATGCCTGCCAGTAAGCTCCACAGTTCCCAAACTCTGTGCCGTGGGACACTGGTCTCCTGGAGACATCATGTGCTCCACTGAAAGGGGAGTCCCCCAGCCCGTGAGCTGCATGGGACAAGGATCAGGCAATCAATGAGTGAGTGAGCGAGTGAGTGAGTGAATGAATGAATGGGGGAGCGAACAAACAAATAATTAACACAATAGAAAAGGTCTGAGAAGTTTGGGAACTCGTCGGATGGACAATCTCTCCCTCTCAGGGGCTCGCGTGGGCAAAGCCCAGGCAATCCCAGCTGCAAAGGGCCCTGTTCACTTTGTTTAATCCAATGACCACGGAAGCCTTTGCTGCCCCAGGACGTGTGACCGTCCCGATACCCGCGTGAATCAGAGTGTGGGAAGCCTGCACCGGCCCGCTCTCATCCTCACTAAGCAGAAAGGAAGACGGTGAGCATGGGGAAGGGGCAGAAAGAAAAAGAAAAAGGAAACCCGACGGAGATGTGTCTCAAGGCTCTCAGCGACCAAACCTCAAGGTTCTAGAACATCCTATGTTTTATAATAGGGAAAGAGGCCTTCTAAGAGTCTGTCCTTCCCTTTGTGCTGGCCCCTCAGTGGGGCCAGAGGCTCTCCAGCTATAAGGCTGTCTACTGCATGGCCACTGGGGGGTCCAAGGGGCTTGAGAGGCCCCAGGGAGGCTTCCAGGAGCTCCAGGAAGAGTTGCCCACCACTGATCAGGCTAAAATGGGGGAGTGAGCATGCCGTCAGCAGAGGTATGCAAGCAGAAGACGCAGGGCTCAGGCAGAGGAGGGGAGCTGCCCTCTCTCTGAAATGATCCTGAAGTGATCATTCTGTCTTGATACACTTTCTCCTTGTAAAGAATTGTTTTGGATGATGCAGTCATTTGTAAAAAGATGACATAAAACTACTGACATAAAATGACGTCCCAACACAGTGTTAAGTGTGTGTGTGTGTGTGTGTGTGTGTGTGTGTGTGTGTGTGTGTGTGTGTGTAGGGGCGGGGGTGGGGAGAGTAAGTGGCAGAAGTCTGGCCCCATTTTCATCAAAAACAAGAAGTCTCGAAGGAGCAGGAGCTGAGAAGGGCGCAAACACGCTGAGCACGGGAGGAGTTTTTCCTTTCTGCACTTGGGTTTTGTTTGCTTCTGGGTAAATAAAAATGTGTATAACTTTTGAAATAAAAAATAATAATTTTAAAAAGAATCCTGAACTTGGCTGCAAGGATTATGTGCCCATGAAAAGTGGCCCCCGCCACCCCCGCCCAGTGCTGGGATGAGGGCGCCCCTGAACATTTGTCCTTGGCTGAATAAACAGATACTGGCCGGCTGGACCTCGGCCCATGTCCTGAGTTCCAGGCTCCTGCGAGGTTTTGCTCCACTCCTCTGGGCCCTGCCCCATCTAGGGGAGGACACCGAGGGGGCTGTCCCTTTCTGCTGCTCTGAGGTCTTCCCCTGGCCGGTGCTGCACTCTGTGGAGGGAAAGCCAGACTCAGTCGGGACTTGCAAATGCCCCTGGTTGGTGGGAACCGAGCTGCCTTTGCCATGAGTCAGGGTTTCCATCTCTAGCAGATGCCAGCCTCCTCCACCGAGTCCCCTCCACGCACGCAGCAAGTCTGGACCGGACTCTCCTCCTTGCTGGCTCTGGGAGAGCCCACAGCCTCCTGCTCACCGGCCTTCCCAAGTGACGAGTGACACCAGCCCGGATGGCAGGAGGCTGGTGGTGGTTGGGTTTAGGCAAGGCCCCTGCCCTATGGGGTCACTGTTCTAGTTGTCATTAAATATTCTGGGGTGGTTAAAAGAAGGGCTTTCAATGCCAACTACCATTTCAAATCAAAGATCAATACAGATTTCTCTAAAAGAGGGTGAGCTAGAAATAAGACGGAAACTCTCAGTCCCTTGCTCATGGAAGCGCCAGCCTTTTAAGGAGGGGTGATTGGGGCAGCCCCAGGGAGGGTGAGCTCTGACTAGTGGTGTCTGCAGCTCAGATCAGGGGATAAGTCTTTCTGACCTCAAAGGCAGAACCCAGATGCTTCTGCTGAGCAGAGGTTGAGGGCAGGCCAGCAGATCTGGACCCGATGCCAACAGCAAACAGTGACCAAGCCAGGGGCTTAACCTGGGGCACTGCAAGGAAAAGGGGAGTCCCCCCTCCTACTTCCAGAACAGGTAACGCCGCCAGCTGCTCCCGCTCCCTCACCCCCATCCCACACCACTTCTCCAGCCTGAGCAGTCTTACCCAGACCTCCTATGTTTACTAAGTTGACATGGGATTTTCTTTAATTTCACATTGGTCTTTTTCTGAGAGCAACACAGTATTGTTTGATTGTGGTGAGATATACATAAAATTTACCATTTTAACCATTTTTAAGTGTACAGTTCAGCGGCATTAAGTATATTCACGTTGTTGTGCAACCATCACCAGCACCATCCATCCATTCACCTTCCCCAACCAAAAACTCTGTGACCTTGAACACTAACTCCCTTGCCCCTAGTCCCCACCTCCCCCACCCCAGCCCCCTGGCAATCACCCTTCTACTCCGTCTCTATGAATTTGACTACTAACACAGGTTATCTTTCAAAACAATTTTTTAATATTCCTGGCACTTCACAATCACCTTGTTTAACCCTTGCCTCAAGCCCACAAGCCAGATATTACGATTACTCCCATTTTATAGAGGAGGAAAATGAGACCCAGAGGAAGTAAGTAAATTACTTACTAAGGTCACTCAGTTCAAACCCAGGTGTCTCTGACTCAAAATCCAAGTTCTCTCATCTAAACCAGGGGTTGTTCAAACTCTAGCCCCGGGGCCAAACCCAGCCTGCTGATGGTTTTTGTAAATAAAGTTTTATTGGGACACAGCCCTGCCCATTGGTTGACATGTCTGTGGCTACTTTCCAGGTGCAACAGCAGAGATGAGTAGTTCAAACAAAGACGGAAAGGCCCACAATGTCTAACATACTTGCTATTCGGCCCTTTATAGAAAAAGCACGCCGACCTCTGTTCTGTATGCTGTGCAGCCCCCTGTCTGCTCACCCCGCCTGGTGGACCCCATCAGCCCTGGCGGGAGTGTCTTACCAATACAGTTGCCTAAAGCATCTTGTATAAAGCCACTCTTGCACTGTAGCTTGGGTCTGCAGCGGAAGGATCCCAGAGTATTCTGACAGATAAAATCGGGGAGGCAGTTATGAATACCACTCTCACACTCGTCAATATCTGGTACATCATAAAAAAAGGAAATTGTTAGCAAGAGTCCTGCCAGAAGCATTTTACAACACTTTAAAATCACAAGAAAGTTTTGTTTTTTTTTAAATGCTCATTACTCAGACTATATAACCCAAACCATTTCCACACAGAGGTCATATACAAAAGGGGCCTGAGTTAGCCAAACAGCGCTCGCAATGTTGAAGACTTAAAATCCTAACTTTTTCCCCAAGGCTCTTATGAGACAAACTTCCTGTTATAGAATAAATAACCCAGGCATTTTCCTGGCAACGTGTGGCCGATTTTTTTTTTTTTTTCATTTTAGGGTAAGCGCATGTTTTGTTTAGCTCATACAGCAACGGTCTTAGTGGCAATAAACACTGTCTCTATAAACTCATTCACTCTGAAGCTGTCACAGTGTTTCAAACATGAACAATGGTGATTGTCATGATTGGAGTGTTGGCTGCCCTTCCCCTGAAGTTCATGGCTGTCAAATGTTCAAAAGTGGATGCTCGGTTGGCCAGGCCCCTGGGTTCTCGGGTCCAAACCACCCAGCGAGTCTGCAGGGGTGGAGTGGGCTGAGCTTCTCCAAAGCCCTCAGATGTCAGGAGGGTGTGCCTCGCTTTTGAGCTACCCTCATAACTCAACCAGCATTTTTACACAAGTGGTTGGTCGTCTGAAGGGCTGGCAACCCTCAGCAGAAAACTATGTTCTAACAGATCCTCATCAAAGCCTTATCTGCCAAATAACATCTATGGCTTGGCGGGGGAAGGTCAGCAGCCAGAAATGTCATGTTTTCATGCCGTGGGAAGGGCGCTTTGAACTTCAGGGAAGCTTGGAGTCAGATGGAAGGCAGCTGTTGTGCAAAATATAATTTTTGGTTTTTGGTGTTGTTTTTTTTTTGTAACAAGCACATGTGAGCACCTGAAACGCATTCCTGATCTTGTTTTTAAAGGACCATGCTCTGAGCCTTTTCAGAAATCCCAACTAGCCATTGCCATGAACTCAGCGTTCAGGTAAAGGAGGTAAACCTTTACGAACAGCACTGGCCGGTGCCCCAGGCGGCCACAAGGGGGCGCCTTTCCCATCACCTATCTGCTGCGGAGATGAGGATTTTAGACGCGGAGCGTGTTATATATATACCTTTGCAGTCATTGTGCTCTGTGAGCTCATAGCCAGTCCCGCAGCTGCTGTCTCTTTGGCAGCGGAAAGAACCCACTGTATTGATGCAGGTCTCTCCAAGCCGGCAATTGTGGCTGCCCGTGATGCATTCATTGATATCTAGGAGAGGCGGACCGACACAGGAGTCAGCAGCGGGAACAACCTGACCAGAAGGCAGAGCGGATCGGTTCCCTGCACCCAAGTCCCCACACATTGCGTATTCAGGCTGCGTACCGGACTGGAGCCCTGGGCTCTCACCGCCTAATCAGAGCAGTGGTTTCTCTCCCCAGCTAAGTTTCAGATCTATTCGTCCTTCGGAGCTCCCGCTAAGCAAGTGCCAGGCCAGGCTGGAGTCATGTGACCCTTAAGGCCCCTATAGAGGGCTATAACTTTCCTCCATCGTCTCTCTCATAGACGAGGGACCGAGAGAGGCTGGACTCAGAGTCCAGTCAGACCCCAAATCCAACCCTTTTTCCCAACGCGGTGTTTATATTCTCCTGGGTGAGAGCATATGGTACGCACTCCAGGGACTGCTGGAAAGCCGGTCCAGGGTTGTTCTTCACCGACCAACGGGACCCCGAGTTGTGCAAAGTGGGCCCTGCCTGGACGGCAAGTAGAGGCGGACGGTCCCCAGGGCAGCGACCTGCCATCCTGCCGCCCCCGGAGCAAGGTGCACTTTTACCTTCACAGGAGACGCCGTCCGGCAGCAGCTGGTAGCCCACAAAGCAAGAGCAGACGACCTCCTCGCCCGTGTCCCGGCACTGCTGTTTGCAGGGCCCGCCGCCTGCAATCGGGGCAAACGTGAGCCGGAGGCCAGACACACACCACTGACCTTTTGCTTTTCCAGTTCTGTTTGGACTCGACCTGAGGCAATGTCCTCAGGGTGGCTGACAGAGAAAGGCAGGCTCCCCAGGCTGGAACCCACTGCAGCCTTCACAGCACCCCTCCCTTCCCGCGGGAGACCCCCAGAGTCTGGCTCTGGGCACTCCCAGGGCTGCTGCTTCCAGTCCCAGCCCTGGTCTGACAAATCGGGCCGTATGCAGGGCAGTCGGACCCTGTCGGCTGTAATGGAGCTGGAAGGGGCAAGGCAGACAAGAGTGCAAGGTGCCGCCTGGTACAGACACCGAGGGGGCTGGCCCATAAGGGAGGCAGGGCCTGAAGAGCCCCCCTCTGCCGCTCACGTCCTTCTTGGTCCAGCCTGCGACCTTAACCCCACTAGCATTGTCTCAGCTCGGCCAGCCGCTCGCCCGGCTCCCGGAGCAGCCCTGGCTACCCCTCTAACCGCACTTCCTGCAGGCCAGCCAGCGTGATGCCCCAAGAGCAAATCTCATCGGGACAAACCTCTTCCAGGTAAAGGTCCGGGAGGTACAGACTGACAGCTGCCCAAGGCCTGCTGGGCCCCCCACGTCTCCAGCCTCTTCCCCCATCCCTCTGGGTCCCCACCCCCGATGCCCCAAATCCCCTTTGACTATTGCCTTCCTGGCTAACCCACCCTCACCCATTGCTCACCAGCTATCCCCGCCCCCAGGAAGACCCCCCCACGCCCGCCAGAGAAGATCACAAGGCTTCCTGGGGCTCTCTGCCCGCCCCGACGGCCTCTGTGCAGACGGTCACTACACACCAACCACATCATTTGGTGATTACTATACTGGCTCCCTAGTGAACGCCCCAACCACAGGGCAAGCTGCTGAATGAACCTGTGGAGCAGACCTGCCATTCTAGACATGCTGGAATGTTCCATGAAAGAGAAACAGTTTATCATCTGAAAAATTAACCTGCTAACTCTATATTTGCAAACGTCTCTCTTGAGACAAATGGATATTACGGATGGTACGGCTGCGCTCCCGGACACAAAGTCAGATAACACTCAGCGCCCTACCCTGAGGGGGCTCTCAGCTTTGGGGGAAGCTGGTGTTCGCTGCTCGTGGAGCCTGGGAGGAAGGTCATGGTCAGGTGGATGCTGTCGGGGGAGGGTTTTTAATGCCAGCTTCACACAAGGCCCCTTCTCTCGGCCCACCTTCTCCCTCCCTCGCCCACCAGGCCTCAGCCAGGGGGAGAGCGAAAGCAAGGAGCCCAGGAGTGTGGGGAGGACGATGGCTTAAAGGTGACACCCAGCCAAAGGGCAGTTTTCAGGTGAACCCGAGTAAAACCCGAGGTCCATCTCCCAGGGAGACTATCACTGACTTCCCTTCTGGCTTCATTACCACCAAACGGCCCAGAGGCTCACCTCGGCAGCGGTCGTTCAGGTATGGGTCCTCTTGTTCCTCCTCAATCACAGACATCTTAGCTAAGGGGCGAGACAGGCAAAGGCACGTTTAACCACACGCGGTGTCCCATCTTCTCTCTGAAGACACCCTGAATGTTTTACCTTCTTGTAAATATCAAGCAGTGATGACCATTTGTGTATCTCCTGACAGCTCAGTATTCACCTTCTCCTTTTTGAAAGGAGAATCACCCTCACAAATGTAGCTTAAATCTCCAAAAGACCTATTATAACAGAAAAGCATTGGCATAAAGGCCTGTCGTTATCAACTCAACGCCAAGCGCTGTTACAGGTTGAATTGTGTCCCCCAGAAGCTGCTGAAGTCCTAACTCCCAGCACCTGTGAAAGGACCTTACTGTGGAGAAGGGTCTTTGCAGATAATCTGGTTAAGATGAGGCCACTGGGTGGGCCCGAATCTGATAGGACTGTGTCCTTATAAAAAGGGGAAATTTGGACATAGCGACAGACACACATATAGGAAAAATGATGTGAAAAAACAGGGGGAAGATGGCGCTCTCAAGCCAAGAAATGCCTGAGGCCACCAGAAGCCAGGGGACAGGCCTGGGGAAGTTCCTCCGTCACAGCCTCAGAAGGAACCGGCCATGCCGACACCTTGATCTTGGACTCTGGCTCCAGGCTGGGAGTGGAGACGTGTCTGCTGCTTAAGCCCCCCGTTCATGGTATTTCATCCCAGCAGCCCCAGAAAATGAACACACTTATTTCATCCAGTTTGGCTGCAAAGCTCACTCTAGCTAGTGCCGGTCATCAATACTCACTCATTCGGTTCATTTAATGAGGGAGTGTAAGCACCTGCTCTGTGGGTCAGCCCCCGGCACAGACCAGGCCCCCACTCTCAGTAGAAAACGCCAACGGGGCAATGGAAGAGACACTCGGCAGGGTGTAGGGGCCCTAACTTAATAGGGTGGAATTCCACTAATAGTTCTGGCATAAAGGAAATGGGTCAGTCCTTTTAACTTGGGGGGACTAGAGCCAAGGGTGGGAAGAATCTCGAGAAATACTTGAACACCAAGCCGTCGGATGTGGAGGACCCTTCCACCAGACAAAATGACAGTGATCACAGGTCAATCATATCTAAAGAGATGAGAAAAAAGACCGCAAAGAAATGCGGCTCAATGGAGATGGTATTTATCTCTATTTCCTCTTCCTTCCACCTTTCTGTAGCTTCTAAAATGCCCACGGGGAGCATATAATGCATGCACCCCAGAAAAATCACCATGATTAAGAAGGAACATATTAGTAATACTGCTATAAAATTCAATATGACAACTTACATATACTAACTGTGCACAATGCATTTTTTCTCAGGGGCTAGTAAAATCCGGTAAGGTCTCTAAATACAGTAATACGTTGGTTTGCGAGCATAATTTGTTCCAGGAACAAACTACTTGTATTGCAAGACATCGCTCGTTTACCACGTTAAAATGTGTTAGAAATGTTTGCTTGTCTTGTGGAGCACTCGCAATCCAAGATTTTACTGTAATTCCAAGAACTTTTCACCAGCGGACGCACCGAGCAAAGGATGTTTAGAGTGTGAATCATCTCTTCTAGGTTAGGAGCTGGGAGCACCTTTGCTTGGGGTATTTAGTTTGGGGACGTTTTATTCACTTGGTGCCTTGAATCCCAGCAAAGTCCCTCCCACGTGCCAGGCACAGGCTAGGGTATCTAGACCCCATCCTCCAATAGGGCTCATCATGCTAAGGCCAGGAGAGCTCGTGAAAAACTATTTATCAACCAAGTGATGAGGTCATGAAGATTTCCACAGCATTCTGTGGAGCCAGCAAGCCTGGCATGGAAAAACCGCTATTCCTGCGAGAAAACGAAGCCTGAACCTGCATTTCCCCAGGCTCGTTCTCCCAATCTGTAGAATGGGAATAACCAAAATGTGCCCCAGCACAGTTCTTCCCAAACTACCTGTGGTAAAGGAATGGGGGTCTTTCCCCACCCAGCCTTAGACCGATACTCTGATCACATATAATAAAAAACGAATTACCAGAAAAATGAAATTGACATACGAGCTTTGTTTTTTAAATTTAGACATAAGTGACTCTATCAAGTGCTTCTAGAAGATTCTGAAAGCTTATTCTCAGTTCTGTATTTACTTTGTCACAGGCCAGCATTGGTCTGTGGGCGCTCTGTGTGGCCCTGTGGCAGCACACAGTGGGTCTGCAATAAATGTTAATGGAAGGGATGAAGGCATAGCTGTGACTGGCAGGAGGGAGGGCAGGGAAGTCCTCACAGAGGCTTTGAGGAAAGTCTGGGGCAAAAATTGAAGCAGATTAAAGATAAGACATCTGGAGCAGCAGGAAAGCCCAGAGATGATTACTGAAACAAGACACATCCACAAAAGCTGTCCCCAGAGACCAAAGGAGAAATTCTCCACCCAGATGAAGACTTTGGGTTTGTTTAAAGTAAAAATGTCATGTCTGATTTCAAGTCAAGGAAGAGTCAGAGTGTGGTTCCAATCTCTCTTTACGACGGAGATATTGGAACTCAGTCCCAAGGCATCCATGGGGCCCTGGAAGTGAGAAATCAAAAACAAAAAATGAAAGACTGGTCCATTTGACCTAAACCCCTAAAGCCACGGGGGTCACAAAACCATAGCGATGATGGAAGACCTGACTTAGGGACCATAAGTCTGTGAGCGATTCCTTCCTAATCTCTCCCTGCCCCCTACCCACTTTTAACAGAGGGGGGATGGAGCTCAGAGTGAGAAGGAAAGGGGCCCAGAGTCACGCAGCAAGCTTAAAGCAGAGCAAACCCCCCCCCCGAAATTTTCCAGGGCTATTTCCATGATGGCACAGGAAACCACTGCAATAAGGGGAAGAGGTTATAAGGCAACGCGGACGTTTCCTGAACCATGTAACTGAACCATGTCCCAACGCTTCAGGATCTATCTGGCTTCGGACAAGTGGAGGGTGGAGAGACAGGACTGGTGGACACATAGCTGGGAGCTCTCTCAAAGCTGCTCTTGGGGTCACTTGCCCCTTTGCTGAATAAGTATCTACGATTTGAAAGAGCAGAGCCTGCTATGAGTGAGTGGGGCTGCCCCAGCCTCTTGGCCACACATCATGGGCGCAGATGGAGGGAGAGCACTGGCCAGGAGACGGAAGGCCCGCGTGTTCCCTCCTCCAGGCGTCGGCCATGTGACCTTGAGTATCAGGTCCTCCTCCATGAGATGAGAGCGAGGGCAGCCACCCACCCTGCCCAGGGCTGTTGGAGACACAGGGAAGAACTGTGACAGCAAACGTTTATAGAGCCAGGCACCGTGCCACGCACTGCCATCATTCTCCCATTTAGTCCTCAGCAACCTTATGAAGTAGGACTGTAATTATCGCCGCTTCACAGATGAGGAAACTGAGGCCTGGATAAATCAGTTTGCCAAAAATACATGTTAAGACAGGGACATGAACCCGATCTGTCAGGTCCCAGATCCGAAGCCCCCAGTCTCACTCCAGGACAGCGGCTCTCAGATTAGATCACAAGAGTGAAACTGCTCTGACAACTAGAACCTGTCTGCGCTGAGCTACGGCAATGGTAGGCGTGCGTGCCCACACTACCTGTGAGGGTTAATTTTATGTGTCAACTTGGTTGGGCCACAGTATCCAGATATTTAGTCAAACACTC